GGTTAGCGATGGCTGTTGTTGACAAGGGATTCTGATGGCTACTCCCTGTGAGACCCCATTCATCTCTGGGTCCTAAACTCAAATGCCCCCGTGGGCCAGTGAAGGGCGATGGTGGGCACTGCAGCCAACTGGAGAGCACAAACCCCACCCAAAGGGCTGCCATGCCCGAATTGGGGGCCCAGTATTACTGGATCTTCTGGTTTTTTTCAGGAAAACACTGAAAATCTGGACATGTAAGGGGAATTTCCTGATTTTTAAAAGCTGGGAAAAGAATCAGATTATCTGAAAACACTAAATGGCCAAATAAAACACATCTGCAGGCCAGTGAAGCTGCCATTTGGAGCCCTTGGTCTAGGGCAGTGGTTCTCAGCCAGGGCAATTTTGTCTCCCAGAGGGGATGATGAACATCTTACAATGTCCAGGACGGCCCCGCCCCCATCCAAGAGCTATCTGACCCTATTAGAGTTTAACTGGCATTAGCTGAAGGAAGAAGAAAGAGGCAGGGCCGGGCCACCTGCCACCTGATTTTACAGACTTACTTGGGTCAGACAGACAGTGTTGTACCCTTTCAACCCCGAAGAACTACGGTTGCCATGGCTGAGCCCTACCTGGTCCAATGTAATTATTTTCTACAGTCCACACACTTCCTGTGCATGAAGGAAGCAGCCTGCCACCCCTGACCTCTGCAGGCATGAAAGTCATGTGAGAAATGTGGACAAAGAGTGCTAATGCATTGCCACTTGGGTCCCCAAGGGCTGGGTGTGATGGTCTGCTAGAGATTATAAGGGTTTTGGCCTCCTGTTCCTTGTGGAATGTTTGGTTTGGGTTCCTCATTCAGTAGTTTCTGGAACTGTGGTTGAGAATATTTCCCTTCTCAACCAGCCCCAACCATAGAAAAATAAAATTCCTTTGAGTCCTGTGCAGTGTAGTAACTATTTGCTGAGTACTCACTCTGTGGCCAGCCGTGCTTGGTGCTGAGAGGGAGGTGAGCAGAGACTCACGCAGGCAGGTTCCCGCTGGTGACTTACTGTGCCGTTGAGGAAGCACAGGCACCAGGCCTCCAGCTCCTCCCCGTCCAGTCTACCCTGTCTTCTTCTTCTACACCCTCCCTTCAGCTTCCTGAGGAAGCACACCTCTGATCACAGCCTTCAGAGGCTCCCAGTTCCACTCCGAATGAAACCTGCACTCCACAGCCTGTGTTGACCCAGCTCCGTTTCAAGCTCGTCTTCTGCTCTCCCATTGCTGTGCTTCTCTCTTGGAAAACCAAGCTTTTCCCTTGGGCCAGTCTCTGTGCCTTTGCTCCGGCTGCGCCCCCTTCCTCAAATACTGCCTCTGTCCTTTCACTCAAGGTGAGGTGGCTCTGGTGGTTTTCCCTGTATCCTCGTCATCACTTCTTCCCACATCACCTCATCTGTCACTCACTCCTGCCTTAGAATTATTTGGTTCTTGACTCTCGATCCCGCCAAACTAGGAGATTCTTAAGGGACAACTTAATAAAAAAAATTCAACTCTTGTTTCCTTTTCTGAGCGACTTCCTAGCTTTGTCCCTGGCATCAGTGGATGTCAGTTCAGCATGCACTGTTTCCCAAGCTCTTCATCGATGCCAAGTGCTGCCATATGTGTTACCGCTTTTCATCCTCACAGGGACTCCAAGACATCATCCCACTTTTACAGATAAGGAAACTAAGGCTTAGAGGAACTGTCCCTTCATCTGTTCATAGATTTATTCACTAGGAGGCAGGCTTTGGGTTCAGTTCAACCAGTTTCTCAGGGAGTCCTTAAGGAACCAATATTCTTTTGTTCTGCCACTCAAGGCTTCTGATAGCAATTGGGGCTCCATGGTTATTTTGCTGGCACTCATTGAAAAAGCTAAAACCTTCCTCTTAATCATCTGAGTCCTTCTCTTCTATCTAGGTAAGTCACATACCCCTAGGCTAACAACATACCAGAATGTGTTGTCTCAAGTTGGGATGGGGTCATGTCCTTGGAAGAACTCAGCTGGAGGGCTGACTGCAGGGCCAAAATTCATAGCTCTGTTAGGAAGCAGGAAGGGCAGGAATGGATGCTGGGGAAGGAACCAGCATCACCTGCTACTGAGAGCAAAGTATTAGGCAGTTAGAAGGAAGGCGGCAATGACAGATTGGATTAAGGTGTGTTGTCTCAAGTTGGGATGGGGTCATGTCCTTGGAAGAACTCAGCTGGAGGGCTGACTGCAGGGCCAAAATTCATAGCTCTGTTAGGAAGCAGGAAGGGCAGGAATGGATGCTGGGGAAGGAACCAGCATCACCTGCTACTGAGAGCAAAGTATTAGGCAGTTAGAAGGAAGGCGGCAATGACAGATTGGATTAAGGAGGAGGGATTTTTTTTTTTTTTTTTT